GCCGCGGGGGCCGGCCCCGGGCCCGGGCGGGCCTGGCGCGGTGGTGGCGGGGCAGGTGATGTGGCAGCGCGCCATTGGTCGGAGTGACGCGTCCGGCGGACATGTCCGGTACGGGATGGACGTGTCCGGCGACGCGAGGAGGGAGATGGCTAGGGTTTGGACTGCGCGAAAATTCGGGGAGAGCCACATATATATAGGTAGAGGGAGCTAGGAGAGTCCAAATGAGGTGCTGTTTTCGGCCACGCGATCGTGATCGAACGACCGAGATGATAGAAGAGGTTTAGGTGGGTTTTGGGCCACTTTGGAGAGGTGTTGGGCTACAACACACACGAGGCCTTTTCTGTCCTTCGGTTAACCGTTGGAGTATCAAACGAAGTCCAAATGGCACGAAACTTGACAAGCGGTCTACCGGTAGTAAACCAAGGCCGCATGACAAGTCTCGGTCCAATCCAAAAACGTTTAACACCCACACACGAAAAGAGGTAGAAAGGAACACCGGGTGACATAGAAGCGCCGGATTGCAAAACGGACAAGGGGGAAAATGCTCGGATGCATGAGATGAACATGTATGCAAATGAAATGCACATGATGACATGATATGCAAAGCATGACACGCAAGCAATGACAAGGCAACAACAACGAATAACTGGAAGACACCTGGCACATCGGTCTCGGGGCGTTACACGACCTACGACGCATCAAGCAGCAGCCAGGGGAGACCTTACACAAATGCATCCAATGCTTCACCAATGTTCGCGTCAAGATCCCCAAGATGTCGAACGAGGCCATCATTTTAGCATTCACTGATGGTGTCCGGGATGTCAAGATGAAGGAAGAACTCGCCATACACGAAGACATGTACTCGGCCCTATAGATGTTCAACATGGCAACCAGGTGCGCGAGGGCAGAGGAGAGGCCGCCTCTCCCTCCTTGAGGTTCCGAAGGCCGACCCGGAAGACAAGAAGGCTAAGGCCAAGGATGTGAAGCGCAAGGGTCCGGCTGTGCTCGCGGCCGAGCCCGAGATGAAGTGCGGATGCAACCATCCCGAGTCCTCCAGGGGTAGCCGCCCGTTCCGCGCCTTCCACAACATCCATAGCCACAACACCAACGACTATCAAGAGCACAGGGCCATCCGAGATGGGTGCCTTGGCCGCTGCCCTGAGCGCAACGATCGTGTCTACGACCGTGGATGAGGCTGTGGTGGAGGCCGCTGGGACAACCGCGACCCTCACCAGGATTGGCGTGATCAGCCTCGTCAAGACCGCTGGCAGGACCAGCCTCGCGATGGCCCCTGGAGGGACGAGCCTCGTGAGGACCGTCCTCAGGACAACGCTGGCCTTCCTCCACTACCGCCGCCGCCAAGGAGGAACGATGACCACCACCAAGATGATGGGGCCGGGGGCTTCCAGGAGCCTCGTGCTATCGCCTGCATCCTGGGTGGCGCTCAGGCCCCCGCCTCCCATAG